AAAACAGGCCCTTCAACCGGATCTTTTCCAACCAGTCGATGGTTCGAAATAGCTACTAGACTTCCACCGGGTTCGATTTGATGCTAGGCATTTCAAGCCTGAACGAATATTTTTCCATAGCTTTATCTAGTCCGTTCTTGAACGCATTTGTACTCGGAGCTTAAACAATGTAATCGGGGAGGCTGTTCCACTTTTCGGTGATTCGAAGCATGAATAAAATATATTTTTAAAAGTTACTTCTTAAAGGCAACACGTGTGAAGAATCCAGTGTTTCCAATGTTACAGTCTTACGGATGTACAAAGAATTTCTAGTTTTATTTTCGAATATTAAAAAGAGTAAAATTTCAATTTTTTAATATATGAATTTTTTTTCAAAATTATTTATTCTGTCAGTTGATTCATGCATTGCCTTCAACTTCACACAAGTGTACAAAATTTCAGATCAATTGTACAGGTAAAAGTGTGTCAAATCAAGTATAATCTTTGTCGCTGATAAAATTATTTTTCGATTTTTTTAATATATAAAAACTTTATTTATAAAATTATTTATTTTGTCATTTGATTCTGCATTTTCTCCAACTTCACGCAAGTGTGCCAAATTTCAGGTCGATAGGATAACTAGAAGTGTGTTAAATTTCGATTATAAGATTTGTAGCAGACAGCCAGACAGATAGACAAACAAGAAATGAAGTTAAAGAGGATCTTGTAAAAACTGGCACTGAACGCGATTGTTGTCCATTTGCAGATGTGAATCAATCAACATAAGCTTAATTGACGTATTTTCTGGCGAAAATTGAATTTTTCTAGTGTTTTTACGTCGACTTAATCACATCTTTTCAACTAAAAAAATTGAAATTTGAGGCAAACCTGTTGTTATTAATCCAGAAAATGATCGCCAGTTTCTGACACAAAAATATACCGTTATGTGTTTCGTATAGCTACCGCAAATCGGTTAAATTTTCCACGGCCAGGAGCCAATTATTTTGAAAGCTCTCACCAAAACACAACATCTGTCATCAATTAGTTCTGACTGAACATGTTCGTAACATTTATAAAATAAATGAAGTTTGCTGACGCCTTAACAACGTTTAAACAGTTTGCCGTGTATATTTGTCAATGTCACGATGAAAAAAATTCAGTATCGATTCATCGAGTACATATATAGATTATTTGTTAATAAGATGAACTTTGAAGAATACAAAAACTGTTTGTTTTGCAATGATGCATCAACGAACTTTGATGGCCTAGGATCCGCACTTGCCATTGTACATCAACGCACGTTCATGTATCATTTCTAATAATTATATTATCGAAGGGGACGATAGAGCTACTATTGAGTACCGCACCGGGTCTTCTGTGATGGAAAGATGCAGCCTCAATCATGTTTGGTTGTGACAGTTGGCTCGGCCCGGGCGGCAGCCGCTTGCTTTACATCTAGCCCGGGCGGCAGCCACTTTTTAAATCCTCTTGCTCGAGTTTCTGCCTCAGTCCAAAGCTGGGTTGGCATTGATTAAATCAAACCGATTAAATCATATGATTAAATCATTTGATTTTTTTAATTGGACGGTTATAAATAGCTGCGGTGGATAGATTAGCAGCATACCATTGGGGTGAAACTTTTATAGCGATAGCTTACCCGTGGTACTCTCTCACCTTCTTTAAACCGTGACGTCATATCTGAGTAAACGATGTTATGAGTTCGTATCCACTTGAAACCGAATTGTTTAGCGTTTTCTTTCATTTTAATGCTTAGTTAATTTGAAAAGTTGAAACGAATCCGTCATTTCCTAATCTAAAGTAGAATTGACTTTGCAAACGAATTTAAAAACAACCCATACTTGATCTAACTATGCCAATTTGGAATTTTGGCAGAATTTGTCACAAATTTTCATAAAAGTAGAATTGACTTTGCATATAAATTTAAAAACAACCCAAACATTATATAACTATGACAATTTGGAATTTTGGAATTTATGCAGAGTTTGTCACAAGTTTTCATAAAGCATCGAACGAGTATAAATGCATTGACCAAACCTTCATTACTGCATTTTTGCTAGGGACGCACTCCAACAAAAAGGAAAACAAAGCCATCTTCGTCCCTGCATTATTCAGCCAAGTGATCATATAGGTCCGTCCATTAGCCACAGTGAGAACAAGTTTTCTTAATAATCTTTATTGCCAAGCATGAACATAAGAACTCGTGACAAACTGTTACTGAGATGGTCACTTGAATCAAGACTATTACTGAGACTCCTGAAATAAATAAACAAACAAGAATAAATATCTAGCAAAGAATCGACATGGACATAAATATTGATCTTAATAAGAAGCACGAAATTTGAGCATTAAAATTGACACAAATATTTACACAAATTGCACGCATGACAAACGATAGTAATCCTAGCATCCACTGTTCCTATTTACACGAGACGTACCTTACACATCGACGGCAACCACAAGACTAAACTAGGTTCCGCTATTCGGTTAAGGTCACGTCAAACTCTCTCTAAAACAAAATGAAAAATATACATCCTATCCAATCCCTTACAGTATGTGCTAAACTAATTTTTAAAATGTGTTCTAAATATGTAAAGAAAAGAGCACTTTTTGACCTCATGTGATGGTGCCCTCATTTTGATGGTGACTTCGAATCTTAATTCCGCACCAAAGGGTGGGCAACTAGGACGTCTTCCACTGCATTTAGATTGGGTCTCATAAACAAAATTAGCGGAGCCTCACATACACGACATTCATACGACATTCACCAGATGCAAACGATCAGTCACATGCAGGCTATATCAGGCTATATACAGGTCATTTTTTCGTAACAAGAAAACGATCACTTATTCGCCACATGCGACCGATCACTTGCTCGCCACATGCGACCGATCACTTATTCGCCACATACACACGATTAATTATTCGCCATCACATACGATTAATTATTCGCCACGGGCAAGCGATCACTTATTCGCCACGTGTGAGCGATCACCTATTCGCCACAAGCACACGATTAATTATTCGCCATACACATACGATCAATTATTTGCCACGTACGAGTGATCACTTATTCGCCACGTGTACATGATTAGTTATTCGCCATATATATACGATCGACTATTCGCCTCCTGCAAACGATCAATTATTCGTCAACTATTCGCCCCCCCAATCAACTATTCGTCACATACAAACGTACACGTTTAACGATCGTTTATCCGACTCCCAGGAACGACCGTAAAAAAAAATGCACGGGAAAAACTGGTAGCCCAGTCTGCTTTTCTTACAAGTTTAACTTTGATTGTTTTTATTTCTGATGGGGTGATTTTTTTTACACTGATTTCATTTAGGGTCACGATAACTTCAATTAATGCATTGCAAGGACATTATTTTGAATTGAACTCTCATTTTACATTTAATTAAATGTCTATAGCACCTCACTTCCCACCACAATATCGATGAATTTTTTCATAATTTTTAACGACGTAAATATTTTAAGCTTTCCGTTTCCATGTTATGCGATTTATAAGCGTGGAAGTGCACATTCAGTGGGTATCAAAATTTGTTAGAAACCTAGAAAATAACTAAATATTTTTAATCATAAAATGTTGGACAATAATTTACTATCGACGTGTCAAGTGTTCATGGAATAAAATCACGCAGGAAAACATCGAATAAAATATCCACCTGCAAACGATGTTAGCGTGAAGTATTTACGGGAAAATTATAGCAGAAGTATTTCCGTTCTTTTGATTTTGCCGCTGCTATATAATCATATATATATAATCAATATAATATATATAATACATTGAGGGGTTCAAATTAACGAATTTAGTAAGGCAACTTTGATACTGGTGACATTTTACTTGCTATTTTTGGTTTAGAATAATAAACTGATAAAATATGAGCCATTAAAATATAGGTACGTACGTTTAAAAATTAATTTTAAAATACGATACTTCTAAAAAAAATCCAGTGTCTCCAATGTAAAACATGTTCAATGAATTTCAAATTTTAATTTCGAATATTGAAAAATTAATTTTAAATTATTTTAGTACAAAAAAGAAATTAAATTTTCAAAATTATTTATTCTGTCAATTGATTCATGCATTGCCTCCGACATTACGCAAGTCTGCATAATTTCAGATAGATTGGACAGCTAGAAGTGTGTTAAATATTGATCATAAGATTTGTAGCAGACAAAATTAATTTTTCGGTTTTTTAAATGTTGAAAAAATATACATATTTTTAAAATTATTTATCTTGTCATTTGATTCATGCATTGTCTCCAACTTTACGCAGGTGTGCAAAATTTCATATTGATAGGATAAGTAGAAGTGTGTTAAATTTCGATTATAAGATTTGTAGCAGACAGACAGACAAACATGAAATGAAGTTAAAGAGAAATGTTGTAATATAAAATGTCGCGCGAATGAGTTGCAAACGCAGTTTTTTAGTTTATAGCCATGGCCCTTGGTGATTGTTCTCCACTGAATCGACACTTCTCCTGGATTTGTTGGTTATCCTTTCAAATCTAGCAATCCTTCTGGGAAGGATATTATTTCATGTTCGTTTTATTTTATGTTCAACGAATCTTGGGAGCGACCGGCTGACCCACCGAGAAGTGTTCGAGAAGGCCATAAAGACATCCATTCTATTATAGTTTTAGTATATTATAGTATAGTAGTATATCATAGTATTATTTTGTTCATTTTCTGTTGCAGTGTTTAATTTTTACTTAAACGGGTGAGAATTGAATACATCTGAATATACGTTAATTAAATTTTTAATTTACTAAACCCGAAGTTTTGTTCCTCATATAGTGTATCTTATTTGAAACTTTAAATGCGGTGTACTATCGTTCTTCCTAATAAAATAAACCAATATTTTTTATCATTATGATTTTAGATATTGATTGCTAAAAACTCTTGAAAAAATTTGTAATTTGTAACATAAATTAAAATTTTCAAGATCGTGTTTACAGAGGAGATCTGCCGCTTCATTACATTTAGCTTCCGATCTTAGTTTTGTTCTGACGCCGCCCGCCTTTCCACGTGTGACTTCAAGATCTTGATACAGGTTTTTAAGGCATCGCTTAGGTTGAAATACAGTTTGATTATCGATATATAAGTATTTAATTAGCTACAATGACAACTTCTGCAGAAAAGTCATATTTTTGGGGTAAGTCTATCCGTCATTTATCAATAAAATCGGTTACTATGTGGGTTTGTCAAAATTTTGAGTTGATGGAAGTTGGGTTTGTGTCAGCTAGGTAGTTACTGCCCAACTTGGTGGCAAATAAGAGCCTTTTTAGCCTTCATACACGAGTTCTAGTCTTTTAAGTAGGTAGCCTAGGAAGTAACACAGAAACCAGCATTAACATATAAAAGATAACAACATTAACATACAAAATTACAAACTTAGTGACAAACCAGAGATTTTTTAGAATCAGTTAATTTTTAATTTTCTCATTTACTCAAGATTTAAACTAATTTCCTAGGTATGATAATGCTGGTATCCATGATACTTTACTAGTCTACTTATAGGACTCAAAAATGAACTTGAGGGAGTGTCTAAAAAACTCTGCTTTGCCGCTATGCATAGNACACATCTAGATGTGTATAAGAGACAGCAACAGAACTTACGTAACGCACACATTTTTTTTATAGTTTTTCATTTCTCGATGCGTCCTTAATGTGTCGGAATATACCGCGTTTACCCTAGATGATGATTAAGTTGAGAGACGGTTTTAGACACATGATAAACACTAATTCCGACACAGCTTAGAATTAGACACACACAGCTCATTCTGAGTTGTGTGTGATTTTAAAAAATTGAAATTTTCTTAATTAAAAGCTTAATGGCTCTTAATTAAAAGCCTAATTAAGTAGTGTTCAATTTTCAATAGTGTTCTAATTTTGAGCTGTATTGTATTCCAATACAGCTCACACAGCAATTGGCATAGTGACAGACTGGAGATTTTTTAGAATCAGTTCATTTTTAATTTCCTAATTTTCTCAAGATTTAAACCAACTTCTTATGTGTGATTATGCTGGTATCCATGATACTTAACTGGTCTACTTATAGACTCAAAAATGAACTCGAGGGAGTGTCTAAAAAACTCTGCTTTGACACTATGGGCCAATCGGAATTCGAACACAAGAGGGCATAGTGGCAAAGCAGAGAGTTTTTTAGACTCTTCCTCAAGTTCATTTTTTAGTCCCATGGCATAAGTAGACCAGTAAAGTATCTTGGATACCAGAACTATCATACATAAGAAATCTGTTAAAATCTTGATTAAATGTGGAAATTAAAAATGAACCGATTCTAAAAAATCACTGGTTCACCACTATGCAAGAGGGTCGGAATTACGAATAAGTAGAGTTTGAAGCGCAGCCAAAATTAGTCTCGCAAAATGCCTAATTTAGTCACAGCATCAGAATGTATGGATTTGGTAGGTTTGCATTCTAAAGGCTTTTAAATAAATATGGCAACAGTTTGTGACGTTTCATTGTTGTTGGCGCGTAGTGCGGTGTTTTTAGAGTGACGTAAGGCAAACAGAACTCAAGTTGCGCATACGGTGATTTTTTTAGCCATTCAGTTTTTGCTACATCCTTAATGTGTTGGAATATACCGTGTTTACCCTACACTTTACCCCAAACGTGTTTAACCCGCGTTTACCCCAAAAATTTTCATTTTTTAATTAAGCTTTTAATTAAGAGCTATTAAGCTTTTAATTAAGAAAATTTTAATTTTTGGACACAGCTCAGAATGAGCTGTGTGTGTCAAATTCCAAACTGTGTCAGAATTATTTTTTATGTGTCTAAAACTGTTGCTTAACCTAATCATCTATTTATTTATTTACCACTTGAAATCAGCAAATAAAAGTTTACTTAAAGAATTCCTAATATATTCACAGATCCATTTAAAAGTCTCAAATCATAATATTCTTTCTACACGAACAGTTTATCACTATTTGGTAGAGCAAGGTCAACTATCAACTTTGACACATTTTTTGATGTTCTCACTATTATGATTAATAAAATGATTAAGAGATTCATAAAATAGCAAAGGATGTATAACTTGAGAGCTGTGACTTATCAGTTAACCTTAACAAAACAAGCAAGGGCTATAGTCATAATTAAATGGAATCAAAGCAAGTTGAGTAAAACCAAAGAACCAAAAGGGTTTGCAAGGTGAAAACAGTTGAGAATACAATGAAAGGCTATTAAGTAAGTATAGTTGACTATTTGTTTAAAATGGGAATCATGAGAAAATGCAGTTGTGAATGCAATGAATCAAAGAAACATATAATAAATCAAGAACCAATGCCTTGTTTACAGAAAACACAAGTTAATTAAAATGCAAACAAAACATATATATAAAGGGTGAACATTCACTAACCAGCATGGCTAAGCACAAGTGGTCAGGATTGTCAGACCGCTCTGTTACACAGCTGAGTGTCATTCATTGGCCCCAGTTTTATAGTTGATGAGACAAGGCAAGGCTAAAGACAAATAAGGATAAATAAGCACAGATAGGCTGTGCTACACAAGCCACAAAAGCCTCCTGGCAACAACACTATCTGCCAATAATGAAATCAATACGATAACATTGCTAGTGGGTTGCACAACTGGCCAATTACATCCCTGATTGTCAGAAGGTCAAAACCAGTTGTAACTAAGAGTTGACATCAGGCAGGTATTCCCAGTGGCTTGCAAATATTGGGTTAAAACCAGTGTATCAAAATGAAGTGGCTACAGAATTGCTCATGAACTGCAATGATACGTAGTCAGCTCTGTTAGGAAAACACTTGATATGAGATCTAATAGCTGTAATGATTCAAATTCAATGTAAAAGCATTCAGGTAAGTGAATAAAGCAATTCAGAATAGGAACAAGGTGACATTAAACAGGTAACAAAGTAATAATCAAGAATTATTGTAGTAAATCAAATGCATTAGATTGAATAGGACAGATATACTGATGCTTGAGTTGATCAAGTCTTACCAACTCACCCTTAAGGAGCAGCTACGTTGCACAGCAAGCAGGAATGGGTTGACAATGACTTCCAGTTTGAATGATCTTCAGGCAATGGGTGCAGGTGGGACAAGCAATAAGGTGCAGACATGGATCACTCTAAGCATGATAAGTGGTGTGCTTACTAAACTTAACTGAAACTTTTAATGGTGCATGCTACCATCAAACGGGGTAAAAAGGGATGGGCAGGGTAAATAGGGACGCGCGTCACACATTTCGTAGAAATGTAGTAGCAGCTAAACTGATCAAAATATTGCAAAACTAAAAATAGTGGCATAAACTTCAACATTTTTACTATCTATTATGTATTAAGCTAGTCAAGAAATCAAACATTTACTATCTCTGAAAATTGCTAAAAAAGTGTGAAAAGTGCGATTTTGGAAAAGTACCTCTGCCAAGGTCTGGAGCAAAAAAAAAATATATATACATATATTCAACGTATTGAAAAATTTTACTTACATAAAAGTTGCAACCAGGTGTTGGCTTGAAAACGTAATACAGAATTTGCCTATCTCATTCCAAAAAAAATGGCAGCCATTTCTGCACGATGGGGTAAAAAGGGACACCCCGCCGGGGTAATTAGGGACACCCTTAAAAATACATTTACAGTAGAACCTCCGTTAGCAAAGGCTCCAGTTAACAAAAAAATTGATTAACAACAAAGAATTTTGATTACATTTACCTCGCTTGGCAAAAAAAATTCACTTATCAAAAAATTAGTGCATCATTGGTTGTCACAAAATTGTACATAGAATGCTATATATAGAATTGTTCACCATGCATCATAGAATGAAAAGTAATTGACCTAAACTATGATTTATTTCTTCAAAACATATGATGGTTGTCCCTAAAACATTATTTTCTGTTTCGGGTATGTTTTTCACAATCTTTTTGTTATAGTGAAATCACTAGACTCGATTGAAATTGTGCGAAATTACAAACCATCCTGTAAGCTTACAGATACAGAAGAAATGCTACATGGCTGCTGATATGAAGCTTGCAGTGGATAAGGTTCTTGTTAATGCTCAATGGCATGTCCATGGATACAGTAATATCACATTAATAATGCGGTAATTAACCCATTGAAGCCGAATTTTGTTACTGCATGTATTGAAGGGTCTCCAGGAATTTACAGCTCGGGCACTAACTATGGTGGTAGCCCAGAAAAGGGACCACCACAATTTTTGAAGGAAATTTTGGATCCGATAAGTTTCTAATTGTTGGTGAAACAAATCATACTAGTAGAGCCTTCTATGAGGCAGTTTAGTTTTTTGAGAGAGAAGCAATACGGGCAGAAATACTCCCATGCTAGCAAAACTGATCTCATTACACTGCAGATTTTGTTGCTTAGCATATAATTTGCTCTGTTCACATAAATGATTTATCCATTAGTTAGTACAAAAGTAATTCATTGCGTGTAACAAGGTACTTTTCTCAGTCAGAGAGTACTGGATAGCATGTCGGATCTTCACAAAGTGCGGTATTGACGAAGTCACGTCATCTTTGCTCTATTTATAAACAATTAAGTTTTGCATCTTTGAAGGTGGTTTTCCTTTTGTTCGTTATCATCTTGACAACATGACTCATCAATACATATCTGGGAAAATTATCAGGTTTACAGGCAACCTTATCGTCAAAATCATCCGAATCCATGTATGATTCCGTACGAGTATTTTCCTTGGATGATAAATTGCAAATAAAACTTCATTGTCATTTTTGTCCTAGTCTACCAATATATCGTAAACTTCTGATAAAGTTCACTTGCATATGAATATATGTAGATATATGTTATAAATATAACAATCAAACTTCATTAAAATATCTATCAACTGGATGTTAACTTATTTTGTTATAATACATGTGGAACATGAGGTAGCCTTTTATCTCCGCATTCATGCAAAAATACAGTTTGCATGTCACGAATGCCGAGTGGCAACTTCAGTTGCCACTATATATGATTTAGCTTATATTGTCTTTAATGTTAATGTTTAATGCCATTTATGAATTTTGTCTGATTACTAGGCTCCTAATCCATCATTTCAATGCATAAAATTATAAAATATTGACTTCAAACAATTTGAACAAAGCCTTTTCTGTGGGCCGGTACAGGCCTGATCAAAAACACAGTGACTGCCTGCAGTTGAAAGGTCAACTGACTGAAGGGTGAGCAACCGAGGTGAACAATTCTTGTTCAGTAATCGCATGGAACATGTATGATGCGGTGTAGAACTATAAAACAGAAATTTTCTTTATATTATGAATAATACAACCATTTTTTCAGGTGGCAACTAAAGTTGCCAATAGGCTTTAATGGGTTAATGAATATGGTAATATATCAATAAAGGAAAAACAAGTAAAAATCATAGAAAATGTCATTTATTTTACATCTACATCATCTACAATGAAAGAGGAGGACTTCAGAGTATTGTTAGTAATAGATGAGTACACTCTGCATGTGTCTGAGACTAGGTTGTGGAAACAAGTCCTAATGTGTTTACCAACAGACCTAGTTAGCTATTGAGCTAACCTAGTTAGCTATTAAGCCTATCAACATCTGATAGACACGTGATGATCACGCGATCAAGACCTCAGTAGTGGGCGGAAGCAAAGGTAATAAAAGGGCTAGCAACCTTAAGCAAACCCCTCCAGTAGCTGATGAGCACTCCGCAATATAGTGTGTCGGTAGTGTTCTCCGACCTTACGGTCAATGCCGTAGCTTATTCCTCTGTATCGCAACTGTATTACCACCCTAATACAAGATACATTATCTGGATTTGTGTCTTACTTATCCTCACTACCTTAGTTGAAGAACCCGATCCTCAGGTAGAGCTTAATATAATGAGTTCAATGTCTTGAGAGCAACCTTGGACACATGCTTCAAATGTTTGAAATTGAGTTTTATTTCAAGTGTCCCTTTTTACCCCATTTCAAGATTAATTCAGGAGCCTTTTATATTGCGTCTAGTGCCTTACAAATAGCATATGGAATTTTTTTGAAGATGCCATTCGATAGCCCTTGCAAAGAGCTATGAAATGAGCCTAAACTTGTTTTTGAAACGTTTCATGGTAAGAAGTAAACAAAAAGCGCTAAAAACCGTCCCTTTTTACCCCGTTTGATGGTACACTTCAAACATGATGATAAGGCAGAAGCAATTGAACTTTTCAGACATTGCATCAAGTTGCATGCTCTAACTAGTAATTTATTGATGGAGAACAATAATACATCTGAAATAAATAGAAGGGAAGAAAACATTCATCACTAATAATGGTCACAAAAGCCCTAAATTAGATAGAAAGAGCAAACCATATTAGGAAGCATAACCTAAAGTAATCAATACACCAAAGTGCCATAAATGAAAAGTAAAACTAATAATCTAAGATTAAGCAAGAGGGGCAATATGCTCCTGTTCAACACACATTGTGCTGGAAGAACCTACCAGCATTATCATTAAGCAGTGGCCTGATATCAATCTACTGACAATGGATGACCTCTTTGTCTCTGTGGATTGGATGCCAGCTGTCTGTCTTCTTTTTACCAGATTTGTCTGAACTTTGAGATATAGTTCAAATTTGTACTGTATTATATCATATTTATGTATATTATGTACTTATTTACACCAAAATTTCAATGTTTGATGCTTATTGTAACTTGAAAATGAATGGTTGTTGCATTTGAAATGGCTGTTAATATACTAAAACTACTTCCTGAAATATGCTTTTTGATTTCCTGTCTTATCAGACTCTCTGATAAGTTAAATCAATGAAGTCTCTGGTTATTAACGCAGCATTTAAATCAGCAAATTCTGCCATGTTAAACTAATTTAGTAATTAATGTGCATGATCAAATTTGGTTCATGGTAATATACTTTGATCTGAATCTAATATTTTAATGGCCAGAAAGGTTAAAGTTTGAAATATTTCTCCCCCCAGACAAAAAATTCCCCCTCCCCACCCACAAAACAAGAATTTTGAAAAAGCTATGACAAATTGCTAGATATGGTCTTTTTGCATCGAATGATATGTATCCCAATGTTGTAGCTTGGGAAATCCTAGGAGCAGATAGATTTCCACAGTACCCCCTTTTTGGCCATTACCTATGAATTTAATGTTTTCTTTAATTAAAAAGAATTTACAATAACAAAAAGTCTTGAATTTCTGTTTTACACAGGAGTACCAAGTTTCAAAGTGATCTGTCTGTAAGTCAAGAAGTTTTTTTTTTTTTACCAAGACGCTCCCCTTCAGGTTTGCTGTAAGGTGCATCTGGAGGCTGAGGGACAGTGGATGACAAGAAATTGTTTTCTTATGATGCAGGGAAATTAATCAATGAGCACTAAACATATATACCAGTTTCTGTGCTATGCTGTCTATCCATTAATTTATTTGACTGGAGTGTCTGAGAATGCTTCTATTTTTCATTATATTTTGTCTTCTGGGAGGTGTGCTGACCTTGTTGATATGACTATGAGCTGCATGGGTGACCAATGCAAATGTTGACCTTAATCTCCACACACCTATTTCTAATGCCAGGCATTGGAGTTGATGTGGGGAAATTCTCCCTTCATTAGATCACATTCATTCTACTTGTAGTAGGTGGTGCAATGGGCCAGCACTGTCATTTAGAGGCTTAGAGCATATGTAATAACTCAAATTGAGCTTTGACATGGTAATAGGATATTTCTATTACTTCTTGATATTTCTCCATATGTCACAACTGTTCATTACCATCAATGATATATATATGATATTTGTAATTTATTATAAACGATCCTAATTTTATTCATTAATTATTGTAACACTTCTCTTTAACTTCACTTCTTGTTGTCTGTTGGCTACAAATCTTATAATCAATATTTAACACACTTCTATCTTTCTAATCAATCTGAAATTCTGCAAACTTGCGTAAAGTCGGAGACAATGCATGATTCAATCGATAAAATAAATAATTTTGCAAAATTTAATTTAAAAAAATGATGATAAAATTTAAAAATTACTTTTTTTAATATTTGATAATGAAATTTGAAATTCATTGTACATGTGTAATATTGGAGACACTGGATTCTTTAGAATGTTCTCCTGAAAAAGTAATTTTAAAATGCATATTATTACCTAATATTACTTCATTAAACCCTCTACAGGTATGCATTGAAATCTGCATCGATTTAAATTTGTGCAGCCAGAAGTAGCAAGAATTTTTTAAGATTTAGCATATTAAACTGTAAATTGTGGTTAAATTCTTTAAAGAATTGTCACAGTTTCAATTTATATTGTATAAATTTAACAGTTTTTAACTTGCAAATGTAAAAGGAAATGAACTTATATTTGATTAGGTTACAATTATTGAATCAATGCTGCTACTGTATCTTTCATGAAATATATATGGAAAGAGCATCAATTTTATCAAGCAACAATTTTAGTTTAAATGCTTCTGTTTTAATTCTTGGGAATGGTATGGAATAATGTTTTATGTATGAATGTTTGGCAGATGATTGGCAATGGAGAGAGGCATTAGAAATGTTGCCTCAAAAATAAAGCAAGGGACATGATGGGCATTTTTTTGAGAGGGGGAGATTTCTTATGTGACCATATGTGGTAACTTGCACACATAAATGTTGAATTTGTTATATTACAAGGCAGGAATATGTATATATATTTATGCTATAATAATGAATTCTTTATGTTCAAAATACACTTTTTAGGTGGTGACTATTTAGTCATTAATAATTTATTTTATCATGTTGATTAATGGCACCCATGGAATTTTTTGTTATTTATTTGAATTTTGGTTGTGTTGCACTTCAATGAGATCTCTCATTAAGAATGTATCAATTTCCCTTGAAATGAACGTTTAATGAAAAATTTGTTTCATTTTTGCAGCCATCACTCTTGATGCCGATCACAAAGAACAGAAATGGGATGGCCTGACAACGGAGAACACAGATGACATGATCATGGTCAACCACACACTGGCTGTGAGGCAGGTCAGTTTCTCCCCAATTATTTTGTCTTTATCATCAAAATGTTAGGTTTGGGTCTTTATCATCAAAATGTCAGGTTTCGGTCTTTATCATCAAAATGTTATTATATTTCTTGTTTTCTTAGTTGTAATCATAAGTTATGCAATAAATTTGATGAACAATTCAATCTTGGCATTCTAGTCCAGCCACTTGCGTTGGGGAAATGAATGATGGAAAATAGGTTTTATCTGATGGCTGAGACCTGCGCAATTCATCAATGGTTTGACCTGTATTACTTCCTTTGATTTATTTTAGTTATATTAATAAACTTAATGTCGATTGTAAGTAATTATAATCCTAAGTATGGTGAGATAAGAATCCATGTCAATAACTGCTAATAAACCTCTCAACGGTGAGTGTGTGATAATAAGTTTCTTGCTTGAATCACGGAAGTGATTTTCTAGTATGATGGTATTTCAGGCGGTGGTAGGACCAGGCTGCAAGGAAGATGAGGTGCAGGTTGTGGAAATGGAAGCCACTGGCTATGGTAACAAGAAGATCAAAGTACCCGTTTTTGCCAGTAAAGGTGTCACCACCGTCCCTACTGAGGTATGTCTGCGCAATTACTGCATTACTGTTGCAAATAATTTCAAATAAAAAAAGCTTTTATACCTGCCTCGCATTTATCTCACCAGTGTTGAGTTTTAAGTGCGTTCGCGGAACTTGGTGCCTTACTCATATGTTGTTGCAGTTGCTCCTCACCGACCAAGTGGTGACGTTCCGCCTAACGCATGGTTCAGGTCCCGTCTATATCTCTGGGACGCATGCGACAGAGAGCAGCGTACACCCTGATGACGATGAGGATGAAGATGGTATGATGGAGCCAGAAGAAGATGATATCGAGGAGGAAGAAGAGGATCTGGGACCGGTGAGAAGAAATGGGTCATCAGCGGGACAAAAACGTCGTCACTGAGACGCGCCGGCTCAGTCGAGCGCAGGTGCTAGGGTTCGTTTTGAGGATGGGGAAAGGCTGGGTTACTGCAGCTGCTGCTGCGGAATGTTGTAGATTTTTTCTGGGCATAGAATTTCTGTATTTCCACTCGGAACGGTTTAAAACGGGTTGGGAAAGAAATCCGCATAAATAAATTTGTTCTTTGAACACCAAACTTATAATCATGCTGGTTGGCATGCGTTGTCTTTCTATCACATTTGGTGTCAGCTTGGTTGAAATTCGAAGCAACAAAAGACCATACCAATGCTTGTCATATGAGCATGGTTATTTTGTTAAAATCAAATCATCTTCTATTAGTGTTGGTACGGCTCTGCTTCAATTTTGTCATCGTACCAACTTACGTTCAGCATCTATTCACGTTACCAACGTGTGATAATGTACATTTAATAGACCAAAGTGTTATCTCATTCTGTTGGGAACCACAGTGCATCTTGCGTTTACAAAATTGCGGGAAGAACGTAACTTGCATGTCGTATTAATCTGTTAATTTCATCTCTTTTCAGACGAAGAAGAAAGCCAAGAAGTAGAAGCTGGGAATGGAAAGGATATGAGTGTACTGTGGTCCACGCTAATAAAATAGCGAGTTCAATTTGGTTTATTTTGCCACTTGGCATACTTCATATCCTTCACAATATTTACATTTTTCAGCATCGAAAGTATTCTTAAATGGTTACTATAGGAGTATAGGTTATACGTAAAATACCGAAGCCAGTATTATGCTCATTTAGTGTTGAAATATACGAGCACGTCCAGTCGAGTCGTCTCCATATATAATGAACCATATTAATGACCTCCATGGAGTTGAAAGAAAGCTCCATCACTACATTTCAATCCATAATTGTGCCGTGATCATATTTTTGAAATAGCGTAAGTCATATCCATTCATCTTGAGTAAGACTGAGAAGCCTGGGGCACATTTCGCTGTTGGTGTATTAGCAACACTAGGCCAAATTTGAACGACGAATAAACCATAGAATAAGTCAGACCAATAGGGGTAATGTCCATTGCTGAATCAAGTACTAGGAATGATTTTTATGTTGAAATTTTGGTGAAATTTAATGCACAGGAAGAGTTGAACAACAACGTCGTTTGAGTTACTTCAACATTCTCAATTAGAACAAAACTTTCATTCGGCAAAAAGTTCCCAAACTCGAACGATTAGGATTGTTGGCTGAAGATGAACTGTAAGGCGGAGCACACGTTTACTGCGCTCGTCAATGGATGAGCACTCTTAATTGTGAGCTACGTGCTCTGTTCCATCTCATCTGATCACTGTTAATTCCCGTCTTCGATTCTGTGGGAAAATTAGATGCAAGCCCCGTGGTTTGAAACACAGATTATAGTCAGTAATAATATTGTACTAAATTCATTAATTCAACATTTTCCCCGGGAAAGGAATTCTCGATAAAATTGAATTTACTGCAACATTTTCCTTGATTAGGGAAATTAAAATTGACGGTCGTAAGTACACGGTTGAATACACATACTTTTGAAATTAAAAAAATCTCGTCAAAGATACACAACAGTATTAAGGTTCATATAACAAGATTCGAAGACTTTTTTATAAATAAATTTCTTGAAGATCATCCGAATCTGCTTCAGAACGGAAATTTTAGCAGTAAAGCTACCAAAACCTACGAAGGCATTCATCATAGATTAGTTACAGCAAAAAATCCAATTCACACTTGTGTCTTAATGCGAACAAACCGATTGGAATATAAATATATACACCTCCTTGCTTTTATGCGACAAATTTCAATAGACTGCAACTGACAACGATAATACAGATCAAAATTGAAGAAAAAAATCATGAGATATACTACCTCAAGATAAAGGCTAGCTATCGAAGATATTGACACCGTCCAGTATCGTCAGATATCTATAAAGCAAACACTCTCAGGTGTCCTTGCTGACACTCCTGCCATCGAGGATAGCTTTGATGTCGTCAGCATCGAGGGTTTCATACTTGAGCAGCGCTTCAGCCAGGGCTTTGTGCTCTTTAGCGTGCGTGCGAAGAATCGTCCTGGCGCGTTCGTATGATTCCTGAGCCAAATTGATACAGATGATCGTGATTTGCGGTTGGAATGGTGGAATTATATGCACAATTCAGAAAACGAGGTTGTCTTAACGGTTGATATTCACTTCTAGAGGTAGAATAATGTATGGTGGGTCGGAAAAAGGGAGACTGAAGAAACTACAAATAATATTTTTTTTTCAAAATTAAGAAAAAATATTAAGGAGGAGAATATGCTGATCATCAATTCAGGGTCAATGTATGAAAAATCTTAACCATTGAATTACAGATCAATGCAAAGAAAATCCCAGGAGAGCTGATAGTGGAAATAAAGTTTACTTTCGAGCAAAAAAATTCCACTCAGTAAGCTTGGAAATCAGTAAGCAAACACAAATTAATTTAGTGACGAATTTTTCAAGGCATTTTTCCTAGCGTTAGAATACGTTTTAAAGTACAAGAGAAAGCCTAGGCTTTGTGTAAACATGCACGTCACGCGCTATAGGTCACTTTGAAATATGAGGTCCCATATGCCGATCTTTCATTATCGTGAAGAAAACTTTATAAAATTTAGCAAATAGTTCGTAAAACACTTGAGAACAGTAAAAAAAAGCTTTAAATAACTACAAAAACAGCTAAGAATAACGAGGGCAGCAGCATCGCCTTAAGATCCGAGCAAGACACGTACCTGCAGAAGCCTCTTTATCTCAGCATCGATGGCCTCTTTGGTCGAGGTGCTCAGGGAGTCGCCGCTGCCGATCAGCTGTCCTGAATTGTCCTCAAACGTGCGCAGGCCCACGCGGTCGCTCATGCCTAAATCCTTGACCATATGTGTCGCCACGGACGTCGCTTGCTGCACAAAACAATTATGCACATTTACAAGAAGAAATTATTTTCTTGCTAATATTGGATAGTATCGTGAAGCTTACTGACTTAGTTGTAGCCAAAGAAAGGTGTAAATATAGATTTATTTCGTAGAAGCGCAATTATCGCTTTTTTAAATTCATAGACAAATATTTTCCTACTGATCCCCATACATTTAGTGCCCATTTATGTTTCAGGTATTATTCATGGTACGTGCGGTGCAGTAACCTTGAGATCAGAAGAAGCTCCTGAAGTTATCATTTCAGAGCCGAAGATGAGCTCCTCCGCCGCCCTGCCCCCCATGAGCGAGTCGAGCGTCGCCAGCATCTGGGCGCGCGTTACATTGTATTGCTCCTTTGCCGGGATGTACGCGGTCTGCACAAATAACATAATAATTGCACATCATGAATGCTAAAATAGCGAAATATTTCAGTATGCGCGAAAAAAGTCGCGTTAGAAAATAGAGAAACAAATTCTGTTTACTCTTAGCCTAATATTGACTTCAAACAAAAATTCTCGAGGGCTACTTGTTTGTAGGTTTTGAAATGTACAAAATAAATTATACTAAGGGAAAATGATACAAGATAATTCCTGAAAATATTGAAGTCAACAAGCGTATTTCACCAAGAAAAGTACCTCTCATAATCAAGAAGTTTTAAATTAAACGCTAATCGCATACATCATTGTGAGCTAGTGTCAGAAGACATTAGTTCATACTAGTTGTTCCCCCATGTCCACTCCAACTTTAAATGAACCTTATTATAGGGTGCTCACAGAGAAGACAAATCTCAACGAGCCTAAATATTTCAGCAATATTCTATTAGAAAAAGCTTTCCATTTCAGGGGTAACTTACGTGTCCAAGAGAGGGCCCTCTAGGGATGATGGTAACTTTATGCAGAGGGTGGCAGTGCTTGGTGTAGTGAGCGACGAGCGTGTGGCCGCCCTCGTGGTAAGCCGTCACCAAGTTGACTTCCTCGTCAGGAATACGTGACTTCTTTTCAGGGCCTGAACACAAACATATTTAACTTATGAATAAGCCGAAATCGAGGACCAACTAACAACAATTAAGTGAACAATTCACCCATGTGAGGCATTTAGAGAATTGAAAAATATTAAATATTCATCTTACAGCAAAATGTGTAATTTAATGGCAAGCTTATTTTTACACGCATGATGGAAAATACCGCGAATAAACCCAGACCAAAATGCAGTCGGCTAGAAAAGTTCTTATCAATTCAAAGATATTATTAAGAACAGTCAAGTTATTGCCAGGGAAAAAAACAAAATGGGAACAGAGGACGAGGTAGAAATTCGATATAATTGGATACTAACCCATGAGAACTTTGTCTCTGGCTGCTTCGAGATGCTTCATTGTCACGGCCTCTACCATGTCTGCTGCAGCGCGCAGGGCAGCCTGGTTCACCACGTTCTTGATGTCAGCTCCTGTAATATAATTTACATTATTACATGATTCCGTGGACAGCAAATGTTTAATATACGCTGTGTAATATTCATTCAAGCAAATAGCCTTTAAAAATCTCATATCAGTAGTGAGCGATCATACATAGATTTGTATGTTCCATGTTATGAAATTCAACAATAATGCTGGTGGTTTCTTCACGATGACATATACAGGCCCTTTTTCGTGTAATGAAGTACCAATAAATAATGCAACTATGCAAGTGTTATGCGCACTTTCCCAAGTAAATTTGAAATACGCAAAATGCATTAACCATGAACAGGTCATCTCACCAGTAAAACCAGTCGTGCCTCTAGATAAGACTTCCAGTTCCACGTCGCCCCCAATCTTTACCTTCCCCAAATAATACTGGAAAATTTCCCGACGTCCCGCAAGATCCGGAATAGGGACCTAAGAGTAAAAACATATCCATTTAATATCATTAAAAACTGCATTTAAAAGTCGGTCAAACATCATTCATATCATATCGAGAGTCGGATGCAATACTTGTATTGTTTGTAAGAAATGGAACTAAAAATTGTCGAATACTTAAAAAATTCCACTCCAACAAAAGAGACTTGGGAGCACAGAATACCAGATTGTACATAGGAAAAATATAGTGGGAGTTACCTGCACTTCAACATCGAATCTACCAGGCCTGAGGAGCGCCTTATCGAGGTCATCCCTCCTGTTGGTGGCGCCGAGCACGATGACGCCTTCGTTCTTGTGGAAGCCATCCATCTCAGCGAGCAGCTGGTTAATGGTCTGGTTGGCGTAGGGATGAAGAACAGAGTTCGTTCGTTTAGCTCCAACGCTGTCAATCTCGTCTATGAAAATCACGCACGGAGCTCGACTTTTGGCAGCTCCTGATGTCAATTACACAAGCATTAGTGAAAATGGAAATATATATCCAATATAAATTGCTAAATGTCACAGTACTCACCCTTTTCTCACTCGACACGGTAAAAATATTGCGGCCTTGAGGATAACTGAGCATGAGTTTAGATCCTTATGATGAAAGGCGGCCACATTAGCCACTGCTTCACGAAACGTTACAAACGTGATTAAGATTTACATCTTTTTACCTAAAAGCCAGCATTATTATTACACTCCAACTCCCATTAATTTCTCTGTATATTGCTAATCAACAATACGCCACCTCATAAACACAATTTTTATGCCAGTCTCACAGAACGGATCCAAAAAGATAGAATAGCAATTCCAAGCTTAAAGGTACAATGTAGAATTACAATATCCAGACTTTTACTTAATGAATCCAATTTAACAATTAATTTATCACCACAACAAAATAACCGAAGTGAAGTTTATTGACTTCAACGAACCAAATGAAGCAAACATTTTTTATTGTTATCATAACGAAACAAAATGAGAAGACTTCAATTATATTCATGACGAAAAAAGAAGTTTTCCAGCACAAATATCCAGGCGTGCAACCCAAACCCCGTGACCGAACTCACTGAACAGATCACGGACGCGGCGAGCTCCCTGGCCCACAAGAATCTCGTCGAACTCGGGCCCGGCAGCGTGGAAGAAGGGAACACCCGCCTCCCCGGCCACGGCGCGGGCCAGCAGAGTCTTTCCTGTGCCCGGAGGTCCCACCAGAAGCACGCCTGCCACAAATTAAACTCGGTATTGTGCTTGGATTGTGGCATTAAGCAAAGAATTGCCAATCCAAAACGTTTGGATCATTAAATAAAATGAAAGCTAGAAACCGTGAAGAAGCGAAATGAAAAATAAAAATTGTATTGCTAATTGAATATTGTTTACCTTTGGGTAATTCAGCGCCAAGAGAAGTAAACTTCTCGGGACTTTTGAGGAATTCCACGATTTCCTCGAGTTCTTGTTTGGCTTCTTCAACCTGTGAACAGACGAGAACTCATTAATTGATCCGGTCAATCTTTGTAAACTGCAGAGAACACTTCTCAAAATAATCAAGAAATTCGGAATTTAAGTTGTTCCACGGCTCAAACCATGGAACAACCAAACGGTAATCGATAACGAAGCATTAATATAGTGAACAAAGAAAAGCCTAAATAAGTTCTGGTCAGGTTCGGTGCGTGCCATAAGAATGAAACAATTACGAAGATTGAGTAGTTGACACTATATTACGACGAGTAGTAGTATAAAAAATATAACTCAGTACTCGCTGCAGTGAGTGACAGAAAGCGCATTTTCTCGTCAACGGAAAAGCAAAGTCACGGATAGACGGACACAACGAGCACAATAGCGCTTTTTTTCATAAATGAGAAAATGAGCTAAAAAGGATTAAGACTGTTGAAGATGCAAAAAATATTTGAGAGTGTATGTTCTTAACTGGAGCTTGAACCGGGAATACTCACTCCTCTAACATCGTCAAAGGTGACGGTGATTTCTTCAGGCAGCACTTCATTGCCGTTAGTGACGTTCATTCGGAATAGAGATCCACCCATGGTACCTGCTCAAGCAACAAATATTTTGATAACAAAATTCTCCCATTAATCAAAGGGATAATTTCAAGATATGACTTTAGTTGTTTGAAAATAAGAAGAAATTCAATCCATGACGAACTATATGAAAGAAACTCATGAAATTAATTTGAAATTCAGTAAGCCATTGTAGTTCAGCAACATCTAACATATTCAATGTCCATTATATCGCACCACCATTATGAGGATAGAAAGTTTGAAGACGAAGACTAAAAGAAGATGTTTTCATAATTTTAGACTAGAGCTGAGGTTTTTAGAGATCATGAAAATAAAATGAATGACTATAAGATGTAGGTGCACTCAAGACTCACTCATGACAGAGGCCAGGACGGCCAGCAGGACGACAATGGCGAGCATCTGCTGGAAGTTGCGCAGCCAACGCATGGCGCGGGACTTTTCCTTCTTGCCGCCGCTGGCTGAGCTGTCAGCCGCGAGGTAGCCTTCAGCAAACGCCACCTTCACCTGCTGCTGGGCGGCCTCTGTCTTTTTACCCTTTTAAAATATTTTGTAATCTCAGATTGTGGACATGTAATATGGATCAATTACAGTCAATAATCTAGAAGCATTGATCATCAATTACAGTCGACACTCAAATAGCATAGAGTTAGGGTCAGTTTGGAATGCACATACTTTTGAGCCTGGAGCTGTTAGCAGCGGCAGCGGCGGAGGCGGTGGCGTCAGTCGGGGACGGCGGCACCGGCGACACAGGACGGCCGCGGAGGCGCTCCCTCATGGACTGGTGGCGGAATGTTTCCTGCTCAGTGCTGCGTAAAGTCTTGAAGGTCCGTGTGGACTCCAGCTGAACGCGGTGCGCTGAATACAAACAACAATGATATCTGTATTACATGAGACATGAAAAATAAACACACATTAAACATAAATGCAATGCAGACAGTTGTCATTGTAAAATGAAAAGCAAGACTGAATTTTAAAAATACGCACAAAGGATTTTATGACATGATTGCACGAGATCATTTCTCCTATTGCTATTAAATACAGTGTGTGGTACAATCAACTGAAACTTGGATACCTACTCCATTCTGTCCAAGTGCTGAAATATAGTATTAGCTGCATTGTATCTTACATCATATGTTAATAATTAGATCATTACATATGTGTGCAGCAGTTCTAATTTAACAATGAGCTTCTGGGAGCAGTTAGAAGCTGCGTGTCAACTGCTGAATACTGACAACTTTAAACTACTAAAAATTATAGTAAAGTAAAATATGAATGTAAATAATAACAAAAGGACTTTGCATACGTAGTTTGGGTTTGAGAAGATGTTATCAGAAGATTTATCAGTAGATACCATGGTGGATTTAGAAAATAGTGCACATTCCAAATGCAACCCGTGTTCTCAATGGGCAAATGAACCAGAAGCACAACATCAATTATGCGAGTTAAAACAGTGCTGAACTGAACAAAACAGAACTGAAATGAAAAAATACCAGCAGCTAGTAGAGGCTGTCCACTGCTGTTGAGGGCCCCCAGTCTCTGTAGAAGGATGGAAACCGACTGTGGTTTGATCTCTCCTCCAGATGATGCCGATGAGTGTTTATTACCCAAGAAACTTTCAGTTGACACGTAGCTTTCTGCCCAGTGAGATGCCTTCCTCTTCTTCCTGAATGGCTTGATGGCATGTAAAGTATCTGCACATAGAAATAAAGGCATAAGGTTTTAGACATATTTTTCTCCAGTTTAGTGAGACATTAATTACAAATATTTCTTGTTTTATTTGATACTTCATTCCCCTTATTTTGATTTGCCTTTACTCCCATTCCATATACCGTATACAGCTTATTCAGAGAAAGAGCATTCTTGGTCAAGTAACTGTTCAAGTTTTTACCAGTTTTGAATTCAAACTTCTTATTAAAAAAGCTTTTAGTAAGCCCTGGTATTCAGTAATTAAACAGTTATTGGTTCCACCTGTAAAGTAATGTGTCGAATTTGGCGTGACTTTTGTCATAGTTATCACTTTTGCAAGCAATTTACAATATATGGTCTTGAAATATCCTCCCAAATATACTCACCATGGCCCATTTGAGGCCACTATTTGAATGAGGCTTTGTGTCTCTGTCTCCAATTTTATGTCCATCATTTTGAACATAGCATCATACTCTACTTTGCCCAAAAATTAAAATGTGAGCATGTAATTGAAACTTTTGACTCTGTCAACAAAATTGATGCTACTTCTGCATTTTCATAGACATGTATCAACATCTATTTATTTATTTATCAAGGTAACATGATAAAATTAAATTAAATTGAATTTAGATAGGTAGTCATCCTTCACATTTGTACATAAAAATTTGATTTCTATAGAAATTTTTCATTCTTGTGACAAAAATTAATAAATTAAAAGCAATTACAGTACCTATATACTCCTCTAACATAAAAAATTTTGAAAAATACATGCGAGTAAATATATCTTATAATTGTTCATACTTTTCTTGTACTGGTTTTAGAAATTTAAATTTCTGCAATTATCTATGCTATCCTGCAAAAGGGTTATATACATGTTTGCATAAATAAATTCATACAATATATTCATTGATATAAATACCTATATATATTGATATATAGAAAATTAAACCTGCATAACCTGCATTAAAGAAAATCTTCTGCCAAACTACACCAATATTGATATATGTATATATTGATAATCAATATATCTATCAAACAAATCAATGAAGAAAAATTAATTTTACTGGCAGGTGATGAGTAAGTGATGCATGAGATGGCAATGCACTTGCTATTCTGACACTTGCCTTGAACTGCTTCTGATAGTGGCCCACTGGGTAATGAGGCCTGTAGAGCTTTGAAGGATATCCTGGGGTTTTGAAGATGATTGCCAAGAAGGTTTATAATTGTTTCTTCTCTGTTGTTCCCAATAAGATGTTTAACAACATCATTAGCATCCTCAACATCTAATGCTTCAAAAGATTTTGACTGTTCAGTTTTCAATGTCAAATTTTCTTCAGAAGAGAATGGATTGTTTTGTGCTGGTCTCAGTATAGACAAAATCTTTGAAAGCTGTGTAGGAGAGGCAGACTCAGCAGAGAGCATCTCTGCTGTAGTTGCCTTGCTTTTAAAGCCGTTACTTGATCTCCCATGACCAGACGAGTTGCTTAACACTGATCGGGTGTTTGCAAATACTCCTGCTGATGCCTGGGACACCAAGTAGGAGAGAGGAACCAATACCTGAAAAATTACAATATTTTTATTATTCTAAAGCTATTTTAGTAACCCTCTAGTTAAAATACATAAGATTTTCCACAGATAAAGATATGATCAAATTTTATTTTATTTATCTCAAGTTAGCAGCTAGCAGCTGGTTATGGGCAGAAAATAAGATTGAAATGTTCACAAGGCTAGATTTCGAAAGGTTAATTTACTTTTCATTTATAACAGGCAACAAAAAGTTAGGAATAAATAATAACCTGCAATTAAGTGCACCCACCTGGTTGTGAACTGCACTGCTGCAAGCCCCAAACATCATGGATAAAACTCAAGAATATTTTTGCTGGAAAAAGTATAAGATCAAACCAGTCTAACTTTCTATGTTATGCCATATAATATAGAAAGCTGCAATTTTTTTACAAAACTCTAAAATAAACTATTGCAAAAAGATTTCATTAAAATTAAACTAGATATGTGAAAGTCAATACATTATATAAAGTTTTACATAAAAATTCTATTTTCACTCAATTAATTTCAGTCCATCCAATTGAAATTCCATAATATATAATTAGAAAACATTTTTACCTTTTATACAGTACAATATTTCATACATCTAAAACGTTATATGTATTATTATTGTACCCTCTATACACACCAACTAGTAGTGACTGTAGCTGATAGCACAGGCCACAGTGCACAGCACTATCAATAGATCCACTAGTTTTATGTCCTAAAAATCTACCAGACTCTACCCTCTATACACACCGACTAGTAGTGACTGTAGCTGCTGTCTCTTATACACATCTAGATGTGTATAAGAGACAGGGATACTAATTGAAAAAAGTTGTGGTCCCCTCTTCTACATCCAAGAGCAGATAATAAAGGGTCTTTTTACCCTTTTAAAATATTTTGTAATCTCAGATTGTGGACATGTAATATGGATCAATTACAGTCAATAATCTAGAAGCATTGATCATCAATTACAGTCGACACTCAAATAGCATAGAGTTAGGGTCAGTTTGGAATGCACATACTTTTGAGCCTGGAGCTGTTAGCAGCGGCAGCGGCGGAGGCGGTGGCGTCAGTCGGGGACGGCGGCACCGGCGACACAGGACGGCCGCGGAGGCGCTCCCTCATGGAC